TATATATATATATATATATATATATATATATATATATATGCATGTATGCATATATACACATTTGGCACAGTTGACCACATCACTAACAAACACCTTTTGTCGTGTGCTTTGGGATTTTAATGTATCACTATATCAAGTTTTCTTAACTACCTAATCTCTGCAAAATACCATATGTAAATCTAAAAGTCTATTAGAAGTCTTTATCATTATCTGCATGTAGCGTGTTCACCATCTTCAATAACATCATATCATTATCATTATAAAAATTATCAATAATACAATTACTTAATACAGGTGAACAATTGCTTTCATGATCAGTTTTAAGATATAACAGTCATTGAATGATCACAGCGTTATCAGTTTTTGTCAACAAAACCATCAGTGATCTCCGTTTATGATAACGATATTAAATGGTGATACTAACAGTAGTAATAGTAATAGTTGTAATAAAAATGATAGTGATAATAATAGTAGCAGGAGTACTAGTAATAGTAGAAGCAGTAATAATAGTAACAGTAACAGTAGTAGTAATAGTAGTAGTAGTAGTAACAGTAGAAGTAGTAGTAGTAATGATAATCATAATCATAATAATAATATTAATGATAATAACAATAATAATAATAATGACAGTAATAATTTTCAAAAAATAATAAATAACAATAATACTATACCCTCATTCCCATACCAGTATTAATATCTCACCAGGAGAAACTACAGGTTGCAGAGCAATTCTGTAAGCTTATTAGAATATTTACGAATTGTTGTTAACTGCAAGATAAGGGGAAATCTTTAAGCCTTTTTTCCTAGAAAATGTCCTGAGCATAGCAACTGCAGATTACCGAAATATGGGAGAAATACTTCCATGCACGCAGCAAATTCAATCACATACTTTAAATCGTCTTTATGGCTCGTGACAAGTGACACTATTTTCTCTCATCTTCACGTGTCCTTTCTTTCTTTCTAGGGTCAATGGTAACTTATTTCACTGTGTTTATTGCAATTTGGTGTCACTGGTTCATGCAACTGGCATCGATTCCGAGTTGGAATAATCTTGATTTTGTGATATTTGATTAAATCAATTTCATATTATTCCATGCAAAACATGTTCCACCTTAATATTGAATACAAATATTGCATTTTGTTGAACCTGAGCTATCATGTAACTGAAGAGGAGTTCAAAGCCAAACATCCCTGCAAAGTACCGTATTCTCGGAAATGCTCACGACTTACATATCCTATTTACAAATCACTGAGGATTCACTACTTCTACGAGGCATAGCAGCAAGCACACCGTCTCTAAATCATAGGAAAGAAGAGCATTTCGTGAAAAAATAGAACGCTTTGACTATTCCATCTGTATCGAAATCTCTTGTGTCTACGTTTAGGAAATTTGTCTCTTAGATTCGACCTCCATTTTGACACTGGATCGGAGGGAAGACAGTCCCAAGCCTCACTACATGATGCAGCAGAGGCGCTGACCGCCCCTGTGCTCGCGGGGGAGCTGGCCAGCCTGGCGGGGGAGTGGCCAGTGGAAATTGCTCCCGGGGGACGTCGGGAAGTGGGCGGGGTATGGCCACCCAGGACCGCCCATATCGTGCCCGTGGGCGTAAGGGGCGGGGCGCGATGGCGAGTAAGGAGCTCTGTGCCCGTTGCTGAAGCCCATGTACTGGTGGTGATGGTAGTGGTGGTGATGGTGGTGGTGGTGAGGGTGCTGGCTCTGGTGGTGGTGGAAGCGCTCTCTCCTCTGGTTCTCCAGGTGAGACCTGAGGACGTCCGGGTCCCACGGGTCCAGGTCAGGGGGCGTGTGGATCTGCAAGCCATACGCACACGCTAAGATTATAACCTTCAGTGAAAGACGCAGGTCAAACAGATGCTACTCGTAAGATAAATGCATGATTTTATTTCCTGTTACCTGCTATTACACGTGTTATATGTGAACATCCTGACCGATTTTGTGAATATCCCATACATTGTTGACGCCAGCCTTGATTCTCTGCCTCTCCTAAATACTATCCAAATAAAATATATTCACAAAATGGAAAGCAATATTTCCTGTCATTCTTGATATGTTTGAAAAATATATTTCCCATCTTTCTGAGTGCATCTGAATGCCTTCACATTACCTCTTACATTTCTCTAACAAAATCATAAAGAGGCCTGTTAAACTCACAAAACGGAATTATGAAGTACTGTTCAACATGCGCTGAACAAATAAAATGACGGAATAATGCCCTAACGCACTGACGAACAAACATAAAACCTGACATGGATCGAATCGAACTCTTCAACCGAGTCCTTGTCGAGAAGGATCACCGGAAAGAATCACAGAGAAACTCTTGCACTGAAGAATTTTGCGGAATCTTCCTACCTTATTCTTGATGTTCTCCAGCAGACTTCCGAGGGCGGGGCTTCCACGAGCGTCCCGGAAATCTAGAGGTTCCCGACCCTCCTGTCGTGGGAAGTCAGTTTAGTATCGGGGGTTTTCGACTATTCTCTCTAAAGGCTGCATTTCGCTAGATTTTGCCGTTTTTTCGACTTTAGGGATATTTTTTTTTACTTAATCATCTACCAAGCCACGAACAGACTTAAAAATAGATTATAATTTGCTTTAAACGTGCCAGTATAATAAATGGTTTATGCATATTGGCAGTATATTAGCTAACATTTATTTACTTAAGTCGATCAGAAAATCACATACTGTATCAGCACTTTTGTTTTCAAATATACAAATGCAACTTTGAAAAAAATATGCTACAATGTGAATATTCAAGTATATTTGTTCATTATCTGAATGCATCACTAAACAGGATCATAACAATTACAATTTCTAAGATGTTAAGCGCACGAAACACAAATGAAACTTTAATCATCAGAATATAATCATCAGAATACAAAAAAAAAAATCACATGATGAGAAATAAGAGTTAACATGTCCTCTAGTTAAAAAAAAACTTTGTTCCCTTGACCCATCGCCATGTTATCGAGGGGAAGATAAGGCGAACGCACCATGTCCAGCGAGTGTTCCGAGGAGCCAAGGTCCAGTAGGGAGGCCTTGATAGCGGTGTCGTCGAGGAGTCCTGAGGCGTAGTGCAGGGGCGTCCGTCTCCACTGGTCTCGCACATCGTCGGGGCAAAACCTTGAAGTCAAAGACGTAGATTGAAGAGAAACGTATATATAAGGTACTTTCTCTTCTCTAAGAACGATTTTAGATTTGCTTTCCTTAATGAGATTGAATTTAGAGCTCTAAAAATCGCCAAGACAGAATCAAGAAGCAGTGCCATTTACAAACTTAAAGAAACAAAATACAAATAAAGTATTTCACTGGATCAAATCTCTTTCTCAAAGGGATCGCCTAGTTACTAATGCCGTGGCAGCAACCTGGGCGTGACGTGGTTGTCGTGGGCTGCAGGATGGTCCATCGGGGCGCGCAGGATGAGGTTCACGATCTGCTCTCGGCCGTGCAGGACAGCCCAGTGAAGGAGAGGCATTCCATCCCCCTGAAAGGTTGCGTGGAACTACAAACCTCGGCTTTGTAAGAAAAGAAACGGTCTAAATATTGTCTGTAAAATGAAACTCGTCTATCGTAATGTTTTGCCTATGCATCTCTCCCCTCCCCTTTTCACCTTTCTTCTAACTCTTCCGCTCTCTTTTTCTCTCCTTCTCCCTCGCTTTCCCCCCAAGACAATCGTACTTACGGCGAGTCTCCCTTGCCAAAGGAGGTCGACTAGGTGAAAGATGTCACTCTCGAAGTACAGTAATTGCTGCACCTTTGCTGTCTCGCCGTCTTCCACTGCCCGGAACATTTGCTGCAGAACGCCCTGTAAATAAGGAGTTTGTTAATCGCATAGAGGACCTGCATATCATATGTTTTACTGTTGAATGGGAAAAAACTACCGTGTTGGTAGAAAATATTCGAATGTCGAGTTCTGGATCAGATGACAAAGTATCTCCTGGTTTCCCTTGATTTTAATAAACGTTGGTGATTAAGAATCCCTTATTTCCAGAAGACTGATTTTAACGTATGATTGTAACTACCATTTTAAGTAAAATACATCCCAAGGTCATCTATTCACAATCGAAAGCGTTGAACAATTCTCTCGAGTACTATTCAATCTACATCCACAAGAAAGACCTGCAGAACCACTTGCATGACAACTCCTACCGTAAACAATCAGGTATTACTGTGAATCTCTTGGACAAAAACTTGAAAAAAATCACCTATAAGTTTGCTCAAGTACCTGGCACCTCCTGTACTCCTGCAAGAAAAGCCCGACGTCCTGAGCCAGACTCTCGTGGGCGTCTGCCACCACCTCCAGGCGATCGAAACCTCTGAGAGCAAGGAGATCGCGCCGTTTGGGGTACAGGTCAGGTCGGGTGAGCCACAGGGCCACGAAGGTGTCCATGAGAGCCACGAGATCCTGGCGACCGTTCTGGAGTGCCACGTCTACGACCGTTAAGCCCTCGGGGTCACGCTCGCAGAGAAGGGCGGGGCCGCCTGCAACGTTTATTAGTAGAACTTGGTTTCTTCAGAAGAGAGACTTGCATCCCATGGTATAAGAACGACTTTGTCATTCATTCATATAAGATGGGGTTTTCATTATGAAATAATATTCAAGAAGAAGTATTTTGCATTTCGTATTACAATATGCACAATCATAGATCCAATACTTTACATTGAACTTGGGTTCCTCGCCCCAAAGCAAATATAGTATTTGCAAGGATCTAAGACTAACTCACCGACTTTGAGTATGGCCTCAATAGCATCCTTATGGACACCGTTTTCCACCGCCACGCGTAGCACGTTCTTGCCCCGGTTCCAGACCCTCTCCAGAAGGCGGGCTTCCCTTGAGGTCGCATCTGGAAGGAGGCTCTTGATGACCTCGGGGTCCATCCAAGGTTCTAAGGCTGTGAAGACTACTGGTACATCTACCTGCAAAGGGGTAGTTGGGAAAGAAACAGGAGGAACTGAATTTGTGTAAAGAAAGGGTACTGAGTATATAAAAGGGTTATTTCATATATTCTTCATAATGTCTCCTAGTTATGTCCCCCTCACAACACTGTAAACCTTTCCTACAGCATAAACGCATGGTACTAAACCAAGCAAGGCGCACGGCCGGACACACACACACACACACACACACACACACACACACACACACACACACACACACACACACACACACACACACACAGAGACTACACCCAATACAACGAAACCTCCCATGCCCAAGAGCAGTACCATCGAGTCGTCCAGAATGTGGGTGTAGAGGGAAGCGCCGTGAGAGCGGAGGAGGTGGATGAGGCGATGTTGTCCCCCCCGGATGAGGAAGAAGAGCAGGGGGGCGCCGCGCTCGCTCAGCTTCCGGATGTCAATGTTGATTTTCTTCCTGGCAGGAGAATCTAGCAGTTCGCGCACCGCCTCCATGTCCCCAGCGAGGGCGTGGTGCACCAGACACTGAGTGGCAAGAGGTTTTTATGAGTAGAAGTATGCACGGTCATCATATATATGTCTCAATGATATGGTTCTGCAGTCTACCTTATTTAATGTAAAGTATGTAGTATTGTGGTCTGTCATACACACACACACACACACACACACACACACACACACACACACACACACACACACACACACACACACACACACACACACATATATATATATATATATATATATATATATATATATATATATATATATATATATATATATATATATATATATATATATATATATATATGTATGTATGCATGTATGTATATGTATATATATATATATATATATATAATATATATATATATATATATATATATATATATATATATAATATATATATGTATCATTGGGGATAATTCTGCAGTCTACCATATATAATGTAAAAAATATAGTATTGTCTGTCATTTATGTATACATATAATGGGTTTCTTCTGCAGTTTACCAAATATCATGTGAAAGATATAGTTCTGAAGTCGGTCATATACACATGCAATGGGTAATATTCTGCAATCTACCATATATCATACATATACAATGTTCTGATCTACAGTATATAATAACTTCCCAGTTCTCTAGCCTGCCGTACACAAAGAAATAATGAAAAAAATCGGCCTTCGAATTCGCAATCGACTCTTTATTAGTTTAATTCCAAAATCAGCGAGTCAGTTTCATCTGTTTCCTCCTTGAACATATTTTTTAAAAGCTGTTTATGAATCTAATTTTAAAATTCGGCACTAATTCCTAATTTCATTATTAGTCTTAATAACTCATTTCCTCATCCCTTCGCGAGATCAGTTCCCCCAAACAAGCACTAATCCCTGATATATATATATATATATATATATATATATATATATATATATATATATATATATATATATATATACAAATCTCTTCCTCATTTACTAATCTATTCGAGGAATCAATGCCCCCCAAATCAGGATTCATCCCCCCCCCCCTTTCTCTTTACTACCACCCCAGGAGACCAGTCCAATCTTCATTTCCTAATCTGTTCGTTAAGTCAATTATCCAGAAGGTACCATTCATTCCCAATCTGTTTATTAATCCATCCCTCACTTCCTAATCTATTCGCTAAATTGCCCCCCCCATCTTTTTTTTTCTTTGAAAATCTCTTCCTCATTTACTAATCTATTTGAGAAATCAATGCCCCCCCCAACTCAGGATTCACCCCCCCCCGCCCTCTCTCTCTTACTACTACAAAATGAAATTACCCCCCCCCCCATTTTTTTTTTTTTTTGCCCCCTCATTTACTAATCTATTCGAGAAATCAATGCCCCTCCCCCAACTCAGGATTCACCCCTCCCCCTCTCTCTCTCCCTTACTACTACCAAACCGAAGGATCCTCACCATAGAGGGGTGGATGCTGAGGAGCAGGGATATGATGGCCTCGTTTCCCGTGCCCACCGCGAGCTCCCTCAAGGACAGGCCGCCTCGGGTCAGGTCAACGCGGCACCACGAGTTGATCAGCTGACGAACCTGACGACGGCCGGGAAGGAAGTCTCAGGGTTGTTAATGTGAAACGTGTTGTAACTGAAGGAACTCTCAGTGTTGTAAATGTGATAACTTGTGTTGTAACTGAAGCTAAGTCTCAGTGTTGTAAATGTGATAACTAAGTGAAGGATCTCAGTGTTGTAAATGTGATAACTTGTGTTGTATGTTGTAAATGTGATAACTTGTGTTGTAACTGAAGGAACTCACTCTCAGTGTTGTAAATGTGATAACTTGTGTTGTAACTGAAGGAACTCTGTTGTAAATGTGATAACGTGTGTGAAGGAACTGTCAGTGTTGTAAATGTGATAACGTGTGTTATAACTGAAGGAACTCTCAGTGTTGTAAATGTGATACTGAAGGAACTCTCAGTGTTGTAAATGTGATAACTTGTGTTGTAACTGAAGGAACTCAGTAAATGTGATAACGTGTGTGTCTCAGTGTTGTAAATGTGATAACTTATAACTGAAGGAACTCTCAGTGTTGTAAATGTGATAACTTGTGTTGTAACTGAAGGAACTCTCAGTGTTGTAAATGTGATAACTTGTGTTATAACTGAAGGAACTCTCAGTGTAAATGTGATAACTTGTGTTGTAACTGAAGGAACTGCCCAGTGTTGTAAATGTGATAACTTGTGTTGTAACTGAAGGAACTCTCAGTGTTGTAAATGTGATAAACTCTCAGTGATGTAAACGTGATAACTCAGTGATGTAAACGTGATAACTTGTGTTATAACTGAAGGAACTCTCAGTGTTGTAAATGTGATAATTTGTGTTATAACTGTCAGTTTGTGTTTTCCTTCGCGGAGTGGGGAAGGTAATGGGCTAATTAATAATGTATAAAAGGGTTTTTGATTACAGGGCAAACAATTTATTTGAAGGAAGCAGTATGTGCCTATTTATCTATGTATGTACTGTTTGGATACGTGTTCATGTATGTGTGTACGTGGATGTGTATATGGAGATCTAATCAGTTGATAGTGTGACACTGCCAAACGGTAACAGGATGTGAATTAATGATGATGATGATGATGATTATGGTAGTGATGATGACGATGATAATGGTTATGATGATGGCTATGGTGATGATGATGATGGTTATGATGATAATGATGATGGCTATGATGATAATGATGATGGTTATGATGTTTGTGATGATAATGATGGTTATGATGTCTGTGATGATAATGATGATGATAATAATGATGATGTTTGTGATGATAACGATGATGATGGTCATGATGATGATAAAGATGATGAAAGCAATGAAAAAGAAAGACCCCCCCCCCCGGGCGCCTGCACCCACCTTGCTGATGTCCTGCGAAGCCACGGCGCGCCACAGCCCCGGCCAGTAGAAGCGGAAGACCCTCCACACCGCCCCTGCAGGACCCAGCGGAGGGCGTCGCGGGTCGTCCTCCAGCGCGTCGGAACTGCCGCTCGAGGGGTAGTCGAGGGGGTCGTGGACGGAAGCGGCGAAGTTGGGGTCGTGCTCGTAGGGGTCGCCCTCCTGCTCGTAGTCGTCCTCGCGGGGGTCGGCGGCGGGGCTCTCGCCTCTGCGGGCTGGCCGTTGTGGTTGATCTGCGGGGGGGAGGGGGGCTCTGGTCGCGCTCCTCCGCGCCCTTGCTCCCTCTCATGCACACGCACGCACACACATACACATTCACACACACACACATACACACACACGCAAACACACATACACGCGCACACACACATACACACGCACATACTTATAATACATATATGTGTGTTATTGATAGATGAATAAGGTCTGCAGCTTCACTTCGTCACTATTATTAGATAAATAAATGTGTTTGAACATGCTTTCGGCAGTTCATATCATGATTTCCGATTTTTTTTTGTCATTCTATCTGGACCTTATTCATGAGTCAACCATCGTGTATACCTATACACACACACACACACACAACACACAACACACACACACACACACACACACACACACACACACACAACACACACACACACACATATATATATATATATATATATATATATATATATATATATATATATATATATATAATATTATACAATATATACGGATTTTTAATGATAATTTGTTGATACACATTACTTTAAAACTTGGTTTTGTTGTTACCATTAATATGAACACATTCGTTATCAGAAAGGTCATCATCATCACGATTAATATCATCATGGCAGTTAATGGCACTCATCTTCAAATATTCAATATAAATGCAAAATGAAACACTAAACTCCCTCCTCAACTCCCCTCCTCACGCCCCTTCACCCCTTCCCTCCTCCCCTCACCCCTCCTCACACCCCTTCACCCCCTCCCCACTTCCTCCTCCTCTCATTAAGCCCTCCCCCCATCCTAAACCCCTCCTCTCCTCCTTTCACCCCTCCTTCCACCGGATCCTAACCCTCTTGACCTGGTTCAGCCTCTTCTCCTTGACCTCCGCCTGTGCCATCAACTCCACTTCATCCCAGAGAGCGAGTCCATCGTGGGCGGCATAGAGGTCAGCGCCACACTGCAGCAGCACGTCGCACACAGCCGCGTCTCCTGGGGGTGGGGGTAGAGGGGAGAGAAGGGGAGAAGGGGTGGTGAGAAATCAGTGCTTTTTTTATTCTATTTTATCTTATTTTATTTATTATTATTTATTATTATTATTTTTTTAGATGATTGGTGTGGCGAATGGATAAGGAAGCGAGATTGGAATGTGAGGTGTTTTTTTTTTTTGGATAACTGATTTGGCGAATACGTTAGGAAACGAGGGTTGGATTAGGATATGAGATGGGACTAAGTGGTGATTTTTTGGATAATCAATTTGGCGAATAGATTAGGGAAGTATGGGGGTGGGATAATAAAAGGATTGGGAATGAGTGGTGATTGGGGGGGCTAATTTAGCGAATAGATTAGGAAGTGAGGGATGGATTAGTAAAGAGATTGGGAATGAATGGTACCTTCTGGATAATTGACTTAACAAACAGATTAGGAAATGAAGATTGGACTGGTCTCCTGGGGTGGTAGAAAGAGAGAGAGAGGGGGGGGGGGGTGATTCCTGAGTTGGGGGGGCATGATTTCTCGAATAGATTAGTAAGTGAGGAAGAGATTTGTAACTAAAAAAATATCAGGGATTGTGCTTGTTTGGGGGAACTGATCTCGCGAAGGGATGAGGAAATGAGGTATTAAGACTAATAATGAAAATGGGAATTAGTGCCGAATTTTAAATTAGAATCGTAAATAACTTTTAAAAATATGTTCAACGAGGAAACAGATGAAGCTGACTCGCTGATTTTGGAATTAAACTAATAAAGAGTAAATAAAGTAATAAAGAGTATAATTAGCGAATGAGAACCGGCTTTGGGAACTGAACAAGGACCAAATAAAGATTAGCAAATGATGACTTTGAGAGATGAACTAATAATCACCTAAAGAGACGAACGCTGACTTTAGGATTAAACTAGTGAACAGTTCAGCCAGTGAGTGCCGAGCGTAGTGGTTCAACTAGTAGTTATAGAAGGAAAAAAGCGCTGACGTTGAGTAAATAAGCTGGTTAATAGACTGATCTTGGGATTCGGATTAAGAAATACATTTTTGGGGGTTTAAATCAATAAGTAGATTAATCCGGGTATCTTGCTAGTACGTTAGATTATGAAAGTTTCGCACCTTGAATTATAACTAGCAGGTAATCTAGAAATAATGCTAATAAAAAAAAATACGTTGTTGATTTTTGAAGTATACAACAGAAAGTTACTCAAGATATGTGCTGTACAAAATTTGAGGGAGAAACAATTACATCATTGAGAAAACGCGAATAACATTCTAGTACTTAAAAACAGTTCCTAATATAATTGCTACTTGAAAGTAACAAGTTAGTAGATAAATAGCAAATATCGCTGACCTATGGGAACAATCTTAAAAAAGTGACGAATTTGAGGGTTAAGGAAACAACGATAATCATAAAAGGCAACTCAAATTGTGTCTTATTATATATAGTAAATAAGCCCTTGCGAATGAGGAAATTATGTTAATCGTATGGAGGAAATTGATTTTTTTTATTGCTATAAGATGTAAAGCGCGTTTACTGTATACTCGAAGATAAAAAAAGAATAGTGTCTTCGAAAACTAAAAGCGAAAATGATACAAACGTTAATGAGGAAGTCAGGAAACTACTCATTACTAAATGCATAATTAATCAGATATAATACATAACTAACTGTGTAAATGTATATGTAATTTGATATATGAATGATAATATTACAAAGTGAGATAAATGACGAACCTCTCCTGGCAGCATAATGGAGAGGCGTGAGGCCAGAAGCGTCCCGCCCATTCACATCCACGCCCGCATCGCATAACATGTACACGATGGCCATGCGGGCGCGATGGTGCCTCTCGAGGGATGGGTCGCACGCCCACGCCCACGACCAAGGCGGGTGGGTGGGTGCTCTCCCGTTATCTGTAGTTTGCAGAGCATTTTGTCTTGTATTGTATATCACGGAATTATAGGTTGCCAATGTATGTTCGCTTTGCAACGGCGCTCTCACGTCGCAGCTCGGCGAACTGATGAGTCTCCCCTTCGAACCGTCTGCGTCGACCACGTTTTCTTTCATACACTCGCAGTTCATAAAGTCGTCACCCGATTTGGCGAGCACGTGTAGGGGAGACCAGCCGTCCTACAAATGGGGCAAAATGTACCTTTAGACTTACTTCTCTCCGTTTCTTGTGTCTCGATGGAAATTGTAATATATTGAAGCTTGTATTATTCACTTTGCAAAATCAATGACATGGTTTCCAAGGAGGTAATACTAGAGAAAAACTATTTTGATTCGATTAACACCACAACAAACAATGGTAAACAAATGCAGTGAAATGGAGGGTGACACCGTTAATATTCCGGTTCTTAACGGCACCTTTGGCCGTCCTAAACGCCCACCTTATCGCAGGACGGGCGGTCCTTGATAGCGTGGCCATGGTGGTCCAAGAGTCGCCTCACGCCCGCTGGATCTGTGTTCACAATGGCGGTCTGCAGATCGCTGATCACCGAGGCGTTCATTTCCTCTCACACCACGCTTCTGCTGACGAATTTATTGCCGTGGCGTTACGAACCGCTGACAAACGGAAGACTTACAGATTCTGAGTCAACAATGAATTTGAACTTGAACAAAGGTTCAACCACTCACTTTTGTCTACATTCCTGAGTAAATCTGTGCAGCATCCTTAGCTCCAAAGGGTTTGTCACGAGCAGGAGAGAAAGCAGAGAAAGCATTGTTTGCATGAAACCCCAGATATCATATCAAAGCACCTGGACAGGCCAGGTAAGACTCACCTTTAAGCAGCAAGACGAGGCCTTCTCAAATTCATCTTGGCGGCCGTTCGAGGCCCGTCTGATCCCTGGCCGACGGAGAGGAACGGCGCCAGGGGTGTTTAGCGAGGCGTTGCTGCACGTGCCTCAAGAGCCCATCATGTAGTTTGACTTTGGTGTGAGGCAATGTTTACGATGGACTGCGAGAGCCATCTAGGGGCGGACACTGGGCTGAGTTCGGGCCTTCCTCGGGGAGCCAGAGGCGGCCAATCGATACCTTCTGGAGGAGGATTGCCGGGTTTTCATTGGTCGAACCTCCGTTTTCTGTAGCATCATCAGGGGGTAGAGGAACCGGTGTTGATCAATAGATTCTCGATGTTGGGATGTTATTCCTAACCAACGGAGATTCTTATATGCTAACAGTAGGTGGGGTGTTAGAAGTTCTTGAATAAATATAGCTCAAAAAACGAAAAATTGACGCAGCAATGCACGCTGAATGAAACAAGAAGGCAGTAGGGAGGTTTGAGAGCTCACAACGCGAAGCCTTGGGGCCTGAGTCTCGGCCAGCTCAGCGCCATATAACTCCTGAATCAATACGGAATAGTGAATAGAATGGTTTCAGCCTTTCTCGTAAGATGACGCAGAAATGAAGGGATACATTAAAACGTCTTGATGATGGGACATGCAAGCTAAACATACAGGTTCATGGCTGATTAAGCATACATCACGAAGAGGGCATTTAAAACCATTGATGACGAGTATGATTTTTTTTTCTTTTTTTTTTTAGGAAGAATCAAAATCACATAGAATGAGGTCTCAAAGCATGAGTCAGATCATGTTTTTTAAAAGATATATCTTTCTGAGCTGTGAACACACCACATACCAACACTTAGGTTAGGTGTTTGTAGAACGCATTTTACGGAGGAAAAGTTACAAGAATAACATTGTGAAATATGAACGAAATGGTACAAATGATAATGACTATAATAACATTTCACTTTTCATGATATGTGATGATCACGATTTTAATAACAATGACAACCATGATAGTAATACGGAATATTCAAAATTGCAGTAAGAACAAAGACAAAAGGAATAGAAACTGGTAGCATAAACAACATTGATAATAACAATAATACCGACAGTAATTATGATAATATTGGTACTAATAAAGACGAAAATAACAATGTTAATGATCATAGCAATGGTATGAGTAATAACCATATTCTTGTACGAATGTTAATAAAATCACTGTTGTTATTATTGTACAGGAATATGACGAGGTCGACTATATTATTCATGGTTACTGACGATACTAATTATGATATAGTTAATTATGATTATAATAATACCTATACTGATACTGACAATTATAGTGATGATGATATTAATGATAATGATGATGATGATAATGTTAATGATAGTAATAACAATGAGGATAATACAAAAAGTGATAATAATGGTAATAACAATAGTGATGAAAATAATAACAACAATGATAATGATAATGTTTGCAATAACAATAATAAAAATCATGTTTATGATCATAACAACAGGAATAATGATAATGATAATTATATTGATAATGATATAAATAATCATGTTAATAATAATGGTAATGATGATGAGTGATGAAAGTGATAATGATGATGATAATAATAATAATGAAAAGGAGAATAATAGTAATAATAATGATAATAAATGATAGTGATGATAATAGTAAGAATAAAAATAAACAATAGGAATAAAAAAATATGATAATAATAATAATATGATACTACTACTGCTACTACTACTACTGATGGTTAAACTGATAATAGTGATAAATAATGTAAATATAAATAATGAGAGTGAAAATGATAAATGATAATGTTAAAGATAATGATAATGATAACGACAATTATAATGATAATAATAATGATAATAAGAAAAAATAATAGTAATGATAATAATAATAATAATAATAATAATAATAATAATAATGAAAATAATGGTAATATTAATAGAAATAATGATTAATAATGATAATGATGAAAATAATGATAATAATAATAAGAAGAATAAGAATAATAGTAATGACAATAATAGTAATAATGATAATAATAATAATAATAATAATAATAGATCATAATAATAATAATAATAACTAAAACAGTAATAGTAATAATAGTAATAATAATAATGATGAGAATAATCATAATATAAAAAAACGACGACAGTCATAATGTTTATGATAATAAAGAATAACAGGAGCAACAATGAAAACTATACAGTAATAATAATAGAACTAACATTAATGATAAAAAGTTATAGTAATATCAACAAAAACAACAATAAATATAACGATAATGAACTAATACTAATGATAACGGCGATAATGACGATGACATAACAGGGATGATGATATTGAGTAATTATAATGAAAATGTTGGAACGAAAACGACGTATGGTAATAATTAATTGAAAATTGATGATAGCGAATGAGAAAATGATCAAGATTGTAAAAGAGAAAATATATTAGGGGTGTTGATGGCAATTAGGATGATGAAACAATATTAATGGTAATTGTGATCTTGGAGGTGATTATTATAGAAATATTAATGATAGATGATAAGGTAAAGGCAATGGTGATAAGTACAATAATAATGAATAACATTAACGAAATGATTTATAGATTTCGTACTAACAACAATCCATATCTTGAAATATTTTTAACCAAACCAAAAAAAAAAAAAAGAAAAAAAAGAAAAAAAAAATAGACATTCAATTATAATGAATAACATTAACGAAATTATTTAGAGATTTCGTACCAACAACAACCCATATCTTGAAATATTTTTAACCAAACCAAAACTAAAAAAAAAAAAAAAAAAAAAAAAAATCCCTTTTACAACGAAGGATGCTATTGACTGAAAGAAAACCATTGCGAGTTTAAACTTTGACAATAAAGTAAGTTCTCGCTTTCTCCGGCAGCGATTTTATTCCAATAGTGAGTTGCGAAAGGCGGAAGGCTGTCATAAGCACGCAATGCAGGTTTTTTTTGTTTTAATGTTGTTTTATTCCTTTTCTGTTTTTCTGTTCTTTTTGATCTTTTTAATGATTGATTTACGTGATTGTGAAGACTTAGATCTATATATTTTCCAAATATAGTGCTTATATATTATATGTACACATATATAATATATATATATATAATATATATATTAATATATATATATAAATATATATTATTATATAATATATATATTATATATTAATAATATCATATATTTATTTATTTATTTATATATAATATATGTATATATAATATATATATGCATATATAATATACATATATATATAATATATATAATATATATATATATATATTAATATATATATATAATATATATATATATATATATATAATATATATATATATATATACTATATTATATATTATATATAAAATATTATAATAATATAATATATATTAATAATATATATATATATAATATAGTATATATATATAATAATATATATATATATATATATATATATATATTATTATATAATATATATTAATATATATATAGATATATATATATATAATAATATATATATATATATATATAATATAATATATATATATATAATTAATATATATTAATAATAATATATATATATATATATAATATTATATTAATATAACAATATAGATATATATTATAATAATATATAATATTATTAATATATATATATTAATAAATACATACATAAATATACCATAACATCACACACACACACAATAATTGTAATAAATATATTAATATATTAGTATTACATTATTAATATATATACATTATATATAAATTATATAATAATTTATAATCAATATATATATAATATATTATATATTATGCTATATACACATATATTTATATACATATATATTTATATATAATATATTAATATATATAAATATTAATTAAGTAATATGATGTATATATTAATATATAAATGAATATATATTAATGTATATATATATAATGAATAATATATTATAAATATATAATCCATATACTATATATATATATATATATATGTTATTTATAAATGTATATATAATAATTATATAGATATATGATATATATATAATATATATATTATATTAATATTGATATATATATATGTATATATATATTATATATATATGTTATTATAGTATATAATGGATACCTAAATAATATTAACATTACACCACATAGACACAACACACACACACACACATTATGTTATAATATATAATATTACTATATATAGTATAATATATAATATATATATTAGTATATTAATATATACTATGTAGTATATATGTCACATATGATATTATATGTATATATTATATATATTGTATATATATGTATGTAAATATTATATATATTGTATATGTATAGATATTAATGTATATATAATATATAATATTATATATATTACTATATACTAATATATATATATTAATATATGATATAGAAAATATGGTACACGCAACACACATTAGTTGTGATTATCTTATATAAAATAATAAATGATAGATGTATATATATTTATATATATATATTAGATATATATATTAATAAATATATAATATATACCATAACACACCACATGTGTGTATTTGTGTATGTGTGTGTAGTATGTGTTTGTGTAGTGTGTGAGTGTGTGTATGTATGTACATGTATATATATATTAATTATATAAATTTAATATATATTAATTAATAAATATATAGATAATAATATATATATTATATTAATATATATTATTAATTATATATTATATATACAATATATATATGTATATATATATATATATATATATACATGATAACATATATTAGAATTAATATTAATTAATATATAAATATATAAATATATAATATATATATATAGATATATAATTATATATACCATTACCTAAATATATATAATAATATAATAATATATTATATATATATATATATATTATATATATATGTTATACAATAAAGGTCAGAAAATTACCCAATGATCTATTAATCTCAATATAATTTATTAAGTATATGTTTTCATTATATTAATTGCTAACATAATATATATATATATATTACAACATAATCTATATAATATAAGTACTTTATATACTAGATTAATAAGCTAATTCCTCATATTATATATATACAC